CTCAAGGACGATTTCCGACTGTTGAATCACCAAGACGTCTACCCATTAGGCTGAGAAGTATTAATGAAATAGCATACATTTGGTATTTTGTAATCCCATTTGTTTGGCTAGTTTGGAACTTTTCCAGCCTCATGATTGAGAATTTTAATAAAGCAGTGATTCATATTTTGTGAAATTTTTTAAGATTCCCAATAATTCATTATATTGATATATATTCGATTTAATTTTTATTATCACTAATTGGAGTCGTTATATGTATATTTTTTAATTCTTGACCGATTTGACGAATATACACATTAATTAAGCATGTACTTCTTTTGTTTTATAAATCATGCTTATTTTGTTCACATAATGTAAATAGTGGTAGTTGAAATATATATATATTGAACGTATGTGTATATAATTAAATATGTGCAAATATCTTTCATACTCTCCTTTTTTGAGATAATATAGATTTTTTTTTTTTTTTTTTTTGTATCTCATAACCAAGTATATATAATAACAAAGTCAATAAAAGAAACCGGCTCTAAATTGAATATAAATGTGAAAAGTTTTTACCCACTATTTTATTTAACCAATTTAAAACATTCACACGTGATTCTGATGCTCAAATTGTCTGCTTAACGTTAACTCCCACTTCTTTCCGAGGAACGCACTCGTGTTTTACGTTTATATTGTCTACATTGGAATCTTCCAGTTCTTTACTTAACTGTTAAATCTGCTAAAAATTTTACAAATTATGCCCCAGAATTCGAAATAAGTAAAATATATACTACCGCAAATTATTATGCTATTTATCGTAGAATTCTCGGTGGCCCTACATATGATCGCGCCACGAGAGTACACGAGATTACATATGGTTTGCCATTTATAGAAATCTTGAAAAGCTTAATAACGATTCAAATTACGTATAACCATAAAAGAAACGCAAAAAAAAAACGCATGTATTTACAAATTTCGTAATAAGTCGTATTTAACGATTCTTACAAGCCACGATGCTTAGGCTATACGCGGCTACAGCGAGAGTCCTCGA